AAAAAAAAAAAAAAAAAAAAAAAAAAAAAAAAAAAAAAAAAAAAAAAAAAAAAAAAAAACTTAGAAACAAAGGCCAATGTATATTTCAAGAGCGAACGCACGCTCCACCTGTCCATTTCCTATTTGATGAATCCCTTCAAATAAATCATTTTCCCAAGTCAACAAACAACTTTCACACTAAAACTACCAACAGTTTCATAAATTATGAGTTAAAGTCAAACATAAATCTTACAATTTCACTTTTTAGAATCGAAAGTTTCAACAGAACCAACAAAAACAAATAAAAATAAGAACATCCCACCAAACAACCACCAGAAATCCACAAAGAAGTACTTACGAATACAAAGCCAAAGCTCTCTTGACAACATAGATTGCATTATTGTACTTGGTCTTAAGCCTTCGATCGTTACAATTTCTGATTGCTTTGTCGATCTCCATGCCCTCTGTTACATTAAACTCATTTTACATTACTTTCAATTGAATGAAACTAAACACAAACGAGTCTAAAACAGTTTTTTCCACCTCTGGAAATCCCACAAGATGGCCAAAAATGGAGCGTTTGCTCGTTTCCAAACATATGCAACTTCTCTTAAATGAATTAACCAAATGGACATTCATCAATTGAACTACAGAAACAATCAAGCAAATCTCCTAACTTCTGTACTTCGAGCAAAAAGGATTGGGAATCACACAATCATCTCTTGTTTTGGTGCAAACAGGCCAGAATCTTTTGGGACTTTATTCTAGAACCGTTCAGGTGGCAGATGGCATCGATTCAACTCCAACCCAATCGATTTGGAATAACAGAAAAAAGACAGATGAAATTGAAACAGCATTATTCAAATGGAAGAAATCAATGAGAAAAACGGAGATCATACCGTTAATCAAAATAACTACCACAAACAAGGAACTGAAAGCGAATTGGATAATCCTACTTCGACCGATTCTCTAATAAATAACGAAGAATGGATATGGAGAAAATTCCATGGCAGCAGAAATGAAATTTTCAGCCGGGATCAAAGAGGTATACAAATGCCGGTACATCCACGTTCGAATCGGAACAGCCAAACATAAACAACGTCCCAATTTTCCACAGCCTTTTTTCTTTTTGGTTACAATTCGGCCATTGTTATTAAATTCATAAAAACAACTGCTCCATTCTCTCATAGACAAGTCCTGGTTTATGTTTTTCAAGTAAGAAGAAAGACAAAGATGGAGATAGAGAGAATACCAGCAACAACAAGAGTAGAAAATCAGTGCAGAACCGAGCGGCAGCGACAGGAGAGTGGCGGCGGTGGCAGCAACAGAAGAGAGACGACGGCGGCGGCAACAAGCTGCTGAAACGGAGGAGGAGACGGCGTGAAGAAGAAGATGACGAAAGAGGTAGGTTTATCCCTTCGTTTATTTATTTTTATATAATTTTAAAAACTGTGGCTGACTTTTTTTTTAATCATTAAAAATAATATTTTAGTTTATTGAATAATGTTTATTTATTTTTATTTGTGCATCCCACGTAATTCTAGCAAATATAATAAAAATAATAATAATAGATAATGCTCTATTTATGTCATAATTCATGTTTTTTTTAGAGTAAATTTAAGTAAAAATAAGGTTGAATTTGTAGGGTTTTGTTACATTTTGTTGATTCTGTGTAGAAGCTCGGAAGGGTATACAATTTTTGATAGTTCGTGAATCAAGACGTGTAACATTAATAACTCATTAAATATCTGATGCTTTTGTTAGATCTCATATCAATTGGAGAGAGAACGAGTACCAGTGACAATGTTGGGTTTCGAAGGTAGTAGATTGTGATATCTCACATCGATTGGAGACAGGTCTCAATTTAACATACACTCTCAAAAGAGAGTATTACGAAATTCGATTTTTGAATATATTTTATATAGTTGTAATCCGTTAGTATTTTTTTCTTATTTTTATTTTTAGAAATTGGTCGATAAAATGTTTGATCTGAGTGGTACTAACTCATTCTTAACGATAATTAATCAAAAACTTTTAATAAACAACGATAGGTTTGAACCTCGTGGAAATTGGAAGAAGAAGAAGAATTTTCTAATCGGTAATTCCAAAAACAGTTTCCCTTCGCTTATAAATCAAAATTAAAAGAAAAAAATCACTTGCGAATCAGTAACCAATCACTGAATTTGTTATATTCATTATTGATCAAAAACTTTCCATAAACGACCACAGGTTGGAATTATTGGATGATGAAAGTCTCACATCGGCTAATTTAAGGAATGATCATGGGTTTATAAGTAATGAATACTAACTCCATTGAGATGAGGCCTTTTGAGAAGCCCAAAGCAAAGCCATGAGAGCAAGCCATGAGAGCTTATGCTCAAAGTGGACAATATCATACCATTGTGGAGAGTCGTGTTCGCCTAACATGGTATCAGAGTCATGTCCTAAACTTAGCCGTGCCAATAGATTGACAAATCCTCAAATGTCGAACAAAGGACTCCAAAAAGAAAAAAGGAGTCAAGCTTCCTCGAAGGTACGAAGGCAGTAAAAAATGACTAAGACTCCTTGAGGAGTCGAGCCTCGATTAAGGGGAGCGTGCTTTGTTCGAGGGGAGGTGTTGGATGATGAAAGTCTCACATCGGCTAATTTGATGATGAAAGTCCCACATCGGCTAATTTAGGGAATGAGAATACTAATTCTATTGGGATGAGGTGCTTTGTTCGAGGTCGAGGGGAGTAACTCTATTGGGTGGGATAAGCAACGCAGTGAGAGTTTATGCGCCTAACAGAATCTAGAATTTGAACCTGGTCGAATTCGTAGAAGAAGAAAATTTTCCTAATCGGTAATTCTAACGGCCGATTCTTAAAATTTTCCATAATCAAACACACTTCCTCTCAGCTTATAAATCAAAATCAAAATCAAAATCGAAATCGAAATCAACAATCAAAAACTCACTTACCAATCAGTGCCAAAATCGATCCTCAGAATGTCTTTCGTTACCTCTAGACCCATCCAGTATCGTATTTACGGCTATGGCGAACAACCTACCAAGTTCTGCAACTCCAACTGCGCTATTTCCGCCGTGATGTCTCTGTTTCTCCGCTCTCCGGAGTTACGTACCTTCAAGAAACTGCACCAATTCTACTGAGGAATCTTCTGTTCCCGCTCCGTCTGCAGGAACTCCATGATCCGGTGTTCCTCCAGGGATGGAGCAATGGCAATGCAATGGGGGAGGAGACGGCGATTCTGGAAGAAGCTCGGCCGGTGACGGAGAAAGTGGAAGAGAATGGGGAAGAGATGGGGGATTGCAGTATCTGTTTGGAAGAACTGAATGGGAATGGCGAAGGGAAGAAGAGGGAGGAGGTGATAAGGATGCAATGCGGGCATGTGTATCATGAGTCATGCATCTTCAACTGGCTTCACCATAACAGTTCATGCCCCTTGTGCAGAGCCCCATTATAGACTAAATATGAAGGTGAAAATATGAATAGAACTGCATAAGAAAGAGCTAGGAGAGACAAACTGACACAGTGGATGTTAATATGGACTTCTTCTTTGCTTGCTTCTGAAAGTGAGAGACTTTTCAAATGGTGTCAAAGTTTTATCTTTCAGCTTCATCTGAATCATTTCTTACTACATTTGAACCTCTCTTCCTTTCTTCTGTTGCCTTAGAAGCATCCTCCGTTTCTTCCGAGGCCTTAGAAGCATCGTTCGGTTCTTCAGTTGTTGCATTCTTGAATTACAATAGATGCATCGGCCTTCATTTCTTCGGTTGAAATGGAGGCGTCCTTTGTTTCTTCAGCTGCATTAGGCACGCCCTTCTTTTCGTCCGCTGCATTAGACTTGTCCTTCTCTTCATCCGTTTCACTAGACGCATCGTCCTTCGCTTCTTCAGTGTCCTCCTTCGTGCCGATGACTACTAATGGTCCTAGCTTAGAATCCATTTCTTTGATTTTCGAGGTTAATAATCTCAGATTTTGGAGCCCTCTAAGGTAGTCAAGTGATGATGCCTGGGGAAGAATCATTAGAATTGTAATTAGAATAGACAAGAAGATACAAGTAATTGATGATAATGCAGCTTAATCTATTCTCAACTTAAGAGGCTTATTACCAAAGTTCGAACAATTTGAAGTTTCTATCAAAGCTTGAATCCCCCTTCCTCTCAACTCATACCTTTGTCCAGAAAACAAAGACAAGGGGAGAAAGCTCAATAGCTATATATTTTCCCTTCATACCTTATCCAGAGATCATTGGATTTCATAATTTCAGGATGTTCCAAGTGTGAGATCCTACACATCGGTTGGAGAGGGGACAAACATTCCTTATAAGGGTGTGGAAACCTCTTCCTAGTAGATGCGTTTTAAAACCTTGAGGAGAAGTTCGTAAGGAAAGCCCAAAGAAAATAAAATATCTACTAGCGGTGGGCTTTAGCTGTTACACTAAGCCACACTCCAGAATAATGGATCACATCGATTAACAAATAATTTCATAGCATAATACCCACTTAGTTATCTCGGAGTTTTCCATATAGATAGGAAATGCTTGCTTCATTCGTAGTATTTCTGAGGTTATACCAAGATTTGGGCAGCCAAAGAAAATCAGCAATTAACAAATCAGGCTTACACATTCGAGTAGCAAAAGAATATCATTTCATATATTCGATAGGGTATGACAGAAGTCGTTAAATAATAGATTGTAACATCTCAAGTCCACCGCTAACAGATATTCACTTCTTTGGGCTTTCCATTTCAAGCTTCCTCTCAAGGTTTTTAAAACGCGTCTGCTAGGGAGAGGTTTTCACACCCTTATAAATGGTATTTCGTTCTCTTCTCCAACCGATGTGGGATCTCATGATCCACCCCCCCTTTGGGGCCAGCGTCCTCACTGGCACTCGTTCCCTTCTCCAATCGATGTGGGACCCCCAATCCACCTCCTTTGAGGCTCAGACTCCTCGCTGGCACACCGTCTCGTGGCCACCCCCTTCGGGGCTCAGCCTGCTTGCTGGCACATCGCCCAGTGTCTGGCTCTGATACCATTTGTAACATCTCAAGCCCACCGATAACAGATATTGTCCTCTTTAGGCTTTCTCTTTCAAACTTCCCCTCAAGGTTTTTAAAACGTATCTGCTAGGGAGAGGTTTCCACACCCTTATAAATGGTGTTTCGTTCTCCTCCCCAACCGATGTCGGATCTCAAATAGATAATGAACACATTTCATATCCATTCACACTTAGGTGTCCATTGATTCAGCAAAAATAGAAGCCCATTTAAGAATTATTATAAATGAATTCAAACAAAGCTGTAACACCTCACCTCTTCAAGCTGTTGCTGTCTATGTTTAAGAGTCTCTTCATTTGCTTCCTTATGTACAGAGTGAAGAATGTGCAGCAAATGAGAATCAAAACTCTCTGAACAATGCTGCGATATCAAACTGTAAGGAACAGGGGATTGACAACCCAAATTATGGAAGGGGCAGTTCACAAGTTTCATAGGACAATCAGTTATGCAATGGCGGTCCATTTCGCGTCTCATAATGAAGGCAGAACATTTCTGTTCACATAGAATTATCTTGAAGGGGCAAATTGAATCATGCTGTTCTGCGTGGTTTGCACAAAATGTAGCAGTGCAGCCTTCATTTGTGCAGATTAGAGACCTAAATCCACAGTTTACAACATGTTCAGCTAACTCTTCTACAGAATGAAATTTCTGGTCACAATGAAACTCGCTCTTAAAATCTACATTCCTAAGCAGAACTTGAGCAATTGCTTCTCTCCTATCAAGCGGCCAAAAACCATTAATATCCATTTCTTGAACAAAATCATCTATCTTATCCTCTCTTTTCTCACTTAGAACCCATCCTGAAACTCTACTAAACAAATTTCTCTTCGTAGCAGCAAAATCCTCAACAAAATCAGAGATAATATCGTAGGGATGATCAGATACCTCAGCATCCGGAGCATTATCCAAAATTATGGATTCCGCAACACAAATTTCGCTCCTCATAGTAATATAATCCACCATTTCTTTCCTCATTTCGGCAGCCACGGAACCAGGGGTTCGAAAGATATCGCCACTAGTGTTATCGACGCATGCGGTTGACAATCCAGGAAGGAGAACCTGAGCGAGTTTATGAACAAGTTCCGCATCGCAAAGCTCGCAGTGAATCAAAGGCTCGTTGATCTCTTCATCTTCAATCTTCTCCGGTACGACTTCTTTGTCCGTCGACGGAAGATCCACATTCGGAGTTTCCTGCAACACAAAGATAATTCTTAACTGTTCAAACCGTGAAATTCGAGGAAGAAATTCAACATTATGCATCTCCAGAAGAATACCAAATTCATTTCCTCGAGGCAAAGGAAACAACAAAAACCCTTCTTCTTCTTCTACTACTTCTTGATTTGGATTGTGAATCCGTTTGGAGGAGAGAGAGAGGGAAAAAATTCTTGAATTTCAGATTTCAATGGCGGGTTAGATTGGGTCAAGAGAACGTAGCGTTTTTTAAAGGTTCTCAGATAGAAAAAATTTATAATTTTTTTTTTTATCATTATTATTATTTAAGTATAAATTTGCAATTTTTATTTATGATGAATTATTGAGCTGCTAAAAATTAAAAAAAAATTAATTAATTAATTAAAAAACTCCCATTTGCATTAATTTGACCTTGAATTATGAAAAAATAAATTTGTGATTATATAAACAAATTATAATTTATGGAATTTTTTTAAAGAGGACAAATTCAAATTTGTATCAATGAACTGTGACTAATATTACACGCAATGTTGATTTATTATTTGAATTTGATAGAATATGTTCGTGGGTTTGATTAAGTCAGATAATTTTTTAATTCAAACAATGAACCCAATCCAATCCAATCCAACTCTAAATTTTTGGGCCGGATTGGTTAGAATTTTCCTTTATTCATTTTTTTTAATAAAAATAAAAAAATAAAAACGTTAAAACATCATTTATAATTTTTTACAACATATTTAAAATTAGAAGGGAGTTATTGGTTGGAAAATATATATATATTTAAATTAACAATAAATTTTTCAACTCGAGAACTAATTCAATTTATAAATTTTTCATTTATTTAAATTCGATCCAACTTAATTATGTTCATAATTCAAACCAAATCATACGAATTTGGTTGAGTTGATCAAATGTTCTGACTCAGTGTTTTGATCGGCCTCTAGTTCATTCTATAATAATATATATATATATATATAATATAAAAAAAAATCTTGAAAGATACTTCTTCTAAAACACCCAATCAATTACATTACACCAAATTTTAAGCATCTAAATTGAAAATAAAAATTAAAAAATAACTTACAACAAAATCTTGTATTTTCTACCATACCACATGTCCCAAACATTGCAATCTCTCAACCAAAAACTCTCCTACAAACATTGCTGTCTTCAGCTCGAAACTGATTCATCCTCCGCAGCCGAGGAGGCTACGTCATGGAGGTTTGTCGTCGAGTCGATCAGTTGAAGAGCCTTGGCGACTTCCAGCATTGATGGTCGTTTTTCGGGCATCATGGAAGTGCATTGAAGGGCAATGTCTAGAGCTTCCAGCATCTGTCGTTGGGATTGCTCCGACACGCTCGGGTCCAGGACTTGGGAAGCTCCATTGGCTAGGTTCACCTTCCTTCTCACCCACTGGACGACATCGAGAGAGTCAGTTGATTCCGATCGCTCGGCTTGTCTCCCGGTCACCAGTTCTAGCAACACGACACCAAAGCTGTACACATCCATTTGCGCTGTGGCTTTTTTATTGTATTTATACTCTGCATCCAAATGATGGAATGAAATAAGCCATACTAACAACATATTCAATAAACTCGAGTAAGTTCGGTTGAGCGCAAACTTATTTCTCGAAAGAAACTTGATTGATTCTTCAGATTATCGAGTTTTTTGAACTCCATAGTTCCCGATCATAAAGTTTTGCGTACCTGGTGCAATATAGCAGGAATGAGCAGATTCCGAAGCCACAGTCGAGTGAAATGCCGATTCTCCAACGATATGGTGAAGAGCGAAATCCGTGAGCTTCGGGACAAAGTCAGCGTCCAATAGAATGTTCGACGATTTGACGTTTCGATGAAGTAAATGAGGGACACAGTCCCTGTGAAGGTAAGCTAGTCCTTGAGCAACCTCAATGGCGATTCTCAGTCTCACATTCCAATTCAGACAAGAATCATTTCTGCAAATCAAGTCAGCCAAGCTTCTTCTGTGTAAGAATTCATAGATCAGAAAAATGGCATCATCAGAGTAGCAAAACCCCAGAAATTTGATGATGTTCTTGTGCCTGATCTTGGCCAATGTCTCGACCTCGACTTTCAACGATTTCCACGAACGACTCCCAAAGTTAACCAGTTTCTTCACGGCAATCAGTTCCCGGCTCGGCAAGCTCAAAACGAACACTTGGCCAAAAGCTCCTCCATGTCCTTGTGCAGTTTTCTCATTCATACCCATGATCAACTCATGTTCACTGATTCTAAGAGGGTAAAAGTAGACCGAGTGCCAGTTATCGACACGGGATTTCGATTTGAATGACCGGTAATACAGAACGAAACCAGCAGCTAAGCTCAAAACTCCTAGAACACAAGCTATAGAGATGAGAGCACATGTCATTTTCTTAAGTCCAGACACATGGTTTGTTGGATGGCCTTGAGAACAAGGAGTTTGCAAACCAGGGCCACAAAGATCAGGATTTCCTTGCAGAAATGAAGCAGGTAGCCCCGAAATCAAAGAGAATGGAACAGCACCCGATAGTTGATTGAACGAAACGTTAAACAGCGCAAGCTTTAAGTTTTCGAGTCCTCGAGGGATCGAACCAGTGAGATTGTTATCAGAAAGATCAAGATAAGTTAATACAGGTAGATCAGCAAGGGAAGTAGGTATTACTCCAGTAAAACTATTGCCTGCTAAGGACAAAGAGACGAGTTTCTTGCAGTTCTTCAGCTCGGGAATCCGTCCCGAAAGAGAATTATGGGACAGATTAATGATACTCATCAATGGCGAATCACAGAAGTTTGATGGCAATTCACCATAAAAAAGGTTGAGCGACGCAGAGAATCGGTATAAGCTTCGAATCGACCCAAGTCCTCGAGGTATCTTACTCGAAAAACTATTGTTATCAAGCTGAACTTGCTCAAGATGAGCAGCCATTGATATAGACTCAGGAATTTCACCAGAGAAACCATTGTTTTCAGCTCTAATGAGCTTAATCTTAGGCAATGACCATAATGATTTAGGAAAATCCCCTGAAAACCCATTGTTCTGAACTTCAAATCTCTCAAGATTCAAGCATTTATTCAAGGAATCAGGCAAGGTTCCAGTGAAAAAATTGGTATGAACACTGAGACTCACAAGAGATTTTCCACTACAAAAACCATTTGGGAAAGATCCCATGAGCTTATTCACAGAAACATCAAAGAACACCAAATTATTCAGAGAAGAACCCATCATTTCAGGGAGTTTTCCAGTGAGATTGTTCTGAGAAAGATCCAAAACAGATAGACTACTCAAATCCAACAAAGAAGAAGGGATTTCGCCATGGAAACCAGAGCTTTGAAGCCATAGCTCTTGAAGCTTCACAAGCTTCCCAATCTCATTAGGAATATCACTCATCAGATAAGAATTTTCAGACAAATCAAGAACAGTAAGTTCAGTAAGATTATGAAAGATAACAGAAGGAACTCTACCAGAAATCAAGTTGCTTCTTAGATTAAGAACTTGAAGATTCTTCAAAGCCCCAATGCCCTCAGGGATTTTCCCCTCGATATGATTCTTCGCAAAATCAAGAACAATCAAAGAACGAAACAGAGAAATCTGATCGGGGATCGTCCCCCAAATGAGATTGTTACTCAGATTCAAAGTCTCCAACGAACTGCACTGCGAGAGATGAAGAGGAATCGGCTGATTGAACTGATTATCCGCAAGATTAAGATGAACCAAACGAGGGAGCTCACAAATGGAAGATGAAATTTCGCCGGAGAGATTCAAACCCTGAAGATTAATGGCGGAAACCGAAAGCGAAGAAGGCGAAGAAGAACTCACACAAGAAATCCCAGTCCAGTTACAGAAATGGATCGGAGAAGAAGAAGAAGAAACCCAGTTCGAGAGAGAGTTCGTCAAATCATCAATGGAAGATTTGAAGGCCAAAAGGGTCGATTCCTCAGACGAAGAAGAACCCAAAACGAAGAAAGCAAAGGCTAAGGATATCAACAATGGCGGTCTGAAAAGGGACGCCATGGGAGGGAGTGACAGTGAGCTCGGATTTTCAGTACTCCATTTTTATATGAATGGAGAGATGAACTTTTTGGAAAAAAGGCTCAAATCTTTTAATTCGGGGCAAATTCTTTATCGAGAAAAGGATCATCGGGGAGAGAATTTGAGTTGGGATTAAGAATTAGAAAAACAAAAAGTGAGGAACAGATTCATATAATAATATAATGGATGATTTGAATCACGGGGGAGAGTTTTGGCCAATAAATGACAAAATCTTGCAGCGTTCTCCTTTCTTTCTTCCTGCATGGCGTTTGTTTCAATCGAAAAAATGCTTAGAAGGTGTACATTTTTTTAGATGACTCAATCATAAGAACTACAGTACATGATTTATGCGGATCTTTAGAAATAGTTTTTGCTTTCGGAAGCCGTTCAAGACAAATAGGTAACATAGTAATGATATAAAAAAGGACTATGTGTTGGTCTGTAGAAATAGACTCGTGCTCATTTGTAGGGATAGTTTTTAGTCTTAAAAACACTTCAAAATAAATAGGTAACGTAGCCATGTGTCAGGGTCCTACCTTCTTGACCGTGCGGCGTCGTGATCTATACACGTTCACGACTAGCCTTAAGGGGAATTAAGCCACATATGTATTTTTCGCCCTGGCTTTGTGGCTTCGTCGGATCTTAAGCGAGGTTTGTCTTCGCCAATCAAACATCGCTTGTGCGGAATCCAAGCTTGTTCAACCACATACGTCGCCTGTGCGTGTATGTTCAATCATCTGTGACACATCCGACTTGCCTCTACGCTAGACCAACTCATTCGGCTCGACCTTGCCTCTACTCGGGCCAAGGTCTCTCAATATAACGTTGCATCTCATCTTGTCATCTCGATCCCCATCGATAGGGTCCATATGTCTTGGCGCCATCCCGAGTCTCGAGATGTCGTCGGCCATCATAACTCATTCGGTCATGCCATCGAGAATGGGCCCGCGTGTCGTTCATCTTAGTGGGACTTTCCGAACATCCATCCATCTGGTTCTATCGAGGCATAGGCCCTCCCGTGCCCATGCCGAGTCATTTACGGATACCGTCCCGGATAGTGGGTGTATGTAGCAACCTCCAACACGCGGGCTAGGGCGCAATACCAGCACACCCGTGTCGTCCGGTACTGTCCTTCAAAAACCCATTTCAAAGGAAGTCGCCCGAGACACTCGTCTCGACACGCTCGCCCACACTGTGACACACGTATGTGCCACAAGGT